TTCAAGATAGTAAAGGGGATGCTAGAAAATACTTGTTATAGTAGGAGCATGTCGGGTATGATGGGCTTGCACTGGGTTTGAGTTTTCAGGAAAGTAGTAGCTGTTTGGAGGTAACGAAGAGCTTAAGTAAATGAGAGGTTCTAGAATCAGTTGGGTATTTGACTGACAGTGGCTGAAAGGACTTTGTTCTGGAGGCTGTCGGGTAAGGGAGTGATGGCGAATGGAGCAGTGTTTGTGTGGCGCGGGGTAGCTGGGGTGGACCTGGGGGGAGGTGTCGGGAGGGATTCCTCGCGACCGGGGCAGGCCTTAGGGACCCATGTGAGGTACTAAAGGTCTGTGGAGGGATGGGTAGAACAGAGAGCAAGTAAATTGGGAAGAATTTCTTAGACTTTTTTGACTGTATTTGGGGAAGACAGCTATAGTGAGAGTTTAATTTAAGCCTTTTGTCCCTCTTTGGCATCATTTCAAAGGACACCGAAAGTTCTCACCACAAGATTAAAAAAACTTGTAATTGTGTGGTGACAGATGTTAACCAGACTTATTGTGATCATTTTCTAGTAAATGCAAATGTTGAATTGTTATATTGCACACCTGAAACTATTATAACTTATGTCATACACATAAGGACATGATTATCGTGAGATAATTTACTTTAACATTCTTGGTCAGAGTCATATTATATTGACAAAAATAAAGACACTGAGCATTAGACTAATATATAATAAGTTGAATAAATATATATGTATATAATTTCAAATTTATATATTGATGTCTAATGGGGAGAAAAGTAGATAGCATTTTATACTGAAGTGAAATGCAGGTGGGCACTGAATTTATGTACTCATTTGTTTAATATTTCTTTCATGAATTCTGCTTGGGGACCGCTCCTCTGTGGTCTTGTTGGACTTTTATTGAGCAGCAGTAGTAGTATCACAAGGCACATACCGTATTTTGCCGTGTATGGTGTGCACCCACGTTTTTGTACGCATCATACACAGGATTATCATACCCATGATATGGAATCATTATACCCATGTATAATGAGCATCCTTATTTCTCCTTAAAAATTTGGGCCAAAAAAGTACACATTATACACAGCAGAATACATTTAAAAATACAGATTTTCATTAATAGGACAGAAAAACGCTGCTGGAAGGGAAAACTGTTGTCGCTAGATTGCTTCACTTACGTAGCTTTAAGCTTCATTTTAACACTGCAGCTGTATTCTTAATGTGGAGCTTGTAGCGGCCCACCCCGCGTCCTGGGTCTCTGAGCTCAGTATGTGATTTTTCAGGAAGCAAAGGCTCTGCTCTGGATGCTGACAGACCTTCTCTAGCTTTACGGCTGAGCCAGCGTTTTAGGCTGTCTTTGCTTTTATGGGAAAGGTAGACAATATTTGGATTAGGATAAAGTTTCAGAATCTGCCTCTTCATCTAAATCAGCACCTCTCCAAATGAGATATAATGTGCACCACATCTGTAATTTGAAATTTTCTAATGATCACTTTAAAAAAAAGAAATGGATGAAATTAATTTTAACAATAGTTTATTTAACTCATTAGATCCAAAATATTATTTCAGCAATATACAGCAATATTTTAAAATTATTAGTGAGATACTTTTTTAATGCAAAGTCTCCAAAGTCAGTGTGTCATTTATACTTGTAGCTGTCAACTCGCATACGGAATATTCATTGGAAATACTTTATCTGTATAATGATTTCATAAAACTTGTAGTTGAAAAGTAGATTCACTACCCAGGAAGTTCCAAACTGGCTTAAATATTTCCCAAGTATTAGTTTATAAATTTAAGTTAATTATAATCAAATAAAGTTAAAAATTCACTTCCTCAATTGCATTAGTCACCTAAGTGTTCGTAGCTCCTCCCTGTCACTCCTAGTGGCTTCCATATTGGACAGCGCTGCCGTAGATTATTCTTAACACCGTATTTAAGTGCTTTTATATTTTCCTGGGTTATTAATGAATTAGAATTAGTTCATGCCACAAAGTCTTTGGACAATGTTTTGCTGCATTAGATTTATTCACCCAGCATACCAGTGCCTAGGGAAGAATAGCTCTGCGTGTTTGTGCTTCATCCCCAGGGCCAGGGGGTGCTTTGCACATAGTAGGGGTTTAATCAGTGTTCAGCTAGCTACACCCTGTTTAGTCCTCAAGTTTACTTAAATTTTGCTTTCTCAGGGAAAATTTACCTGCTCCTTTGTTAGATTTTTTTCATGGAACTGAGTTACTTTCTTCCAAAATATATGTACTTGCACACTGATTTGAGTAACTTGGTGATTAATAGCCACATCCTAAGTCCCGTGAGATTGGGGGAGATGTTTTTCTTCATTAGAGTATTCCTTGCCCACGGTGAGTTTGGAATAATATTGGTCAGATAATAATACCACGGGGCCATTTAAAATATGGTACGATTAGCAGATTGTCCAGTTCTTAACTTTATAGTGGTTGGAGTTTTGTGTTGATGGGAAAAAAGGAATATTTTATTTTAAGGATTATGCATACTAAAAAATATGCAGATTTTTAGGTTTTGTTCAGGTGTTTTCAAAATGCTCCTATAAGTATGTCTTTTCCTAGCTTTCTGCTTTACTGGTCTTCATTTCTTAAAAATACCTATCACCTCACACCTGTCTCTGCTACTAACTTAGGGTGCACTGAAGCCGAAAACTAGAAGGCAAGAAAGTTGAATTGTGAAATACTGTTAAGGAGCTGAGGAAGGCCCAGGGCAAAAGCAGAGGTGATAGAGGGAGCATCTCCTGCTGTTTCAGGACAGTTAAAAATAAACCCACCATTTTAATTATAGAAGAGTAATGAGCCTTACCCACAATATGTGAAAGTATGATTAAGAATGTATTGAGAGTCGGTAAACCAAGGTTGTCAGGTCACTATCTGAATCATAAAGTTCAAGGTAATGCCCATTAAAGGTTACTAGTTTGGAAGGTTAGCTTAGAATTTAGTGTTTGCAAATACAGGGATGAGTGGAGGTAGGTGTACAGGTGTAATGCAAATAAATAATACAGTAATTATTCAGTAATACTATGTGAACAGAAACTCTGTTTTGTATACTCACAACTGTAAACCTACTTTGCCTACCCCTGTATGAAGTCTCCACATTTGAATAATGCTCTAGCAAACCTCTTGCATTCACTTTTCCCCTCAACATTTCAACATGGCAGAGAAGTGAGCATACAGAAATGGGGCCAGGAGGGCACAGCTTGGTGGGTTTTCACGTGCAGACCAAGCAACAGTTCGTGACTGTCACAACATCCTGGAGACTCCCCTCCTGTGTTCTCCAGCTCTCTTGCCCTCCAGGGTAAACCATTATCCTGACATAGATAGGTTTTTCCTGTTTTTGTGCTTGATATAAATGGAATCGCAGCAGTATCCGCCTTTGAATTAATAAAACAGATTATCATTCTAAGTGACATTTCTGGTAGCAACTCATTGAAAACAAGATGTTTTTGCAATAAGGAAAATAATAAGGAAATTATTATGCATCTAATTTGGTAAACTGGCAGTTTACCAGTGTATTTACCATATTTTGTTGTGTGTGAGGCACACTTTTTTGCCCAAATTTTTGAGGGAAAAATAAAGATGCTCATTATACATGGGTAGTACCTAAAACACCTTGTTATTTGTTCTTATGTTTTGTAATTATTTGTTACATAAAATTTCTTGTACCATAATATGTTCAAAAATAAATGCTAATACTAAAATTCCTTTATAATACAAAAACCCCCACAAGTATCTAAATATAAATGAATAAAAGATTGAATTAAAAAATTAAAACATTTTTTTTCTTGAATGGGCCACAAATGTGGGTGCACATTATACATGGGAACACATTATACACAGCAAAATATGTTAGTGCTTTACTATTCCTTTAAGAAATGGTCTATGTAAATGCAAGAGTGCGTGCATGTGCACACGGGTATGAATGCGTATATATGCACATGTACATGCTTTTAAAGATTTCGCCTAAATTCAGTCATGCTGTGCTATGCATGCCATTCACCCCTCAGCGATAGGTCTGAGAGCCCCTCTCATGGCAGCTCATGTAGATCCGATTCATTGTTCCTGATAGTGGCACGGTGCTCTTACATAGATGTACCATAACTTAATGAGCCAGCTGTCTGCTGAAGAACAGGTAGGTTGTTACTGAATCTTTTGCTTTTAGAACAATGTAGTCAGTGTGAGTTTATCTATAAAATATACTCTTAGAAATGAAATTGCTGAGAAATGGGTCATACATTTTTTACTTTGCTCAGATATTTCTAAATGGCCCTTTAAAGAGTTTTGCCACTTTTGCTTCCACCAGAAAGGTTTAATAACTCCTATTTCCAGTTTCCTATTTCCTATTTTCTTAAGTTTTAAGAGAGGTTAGTTCTTTATACGTTTATTGGGCAGTTGTGTTTCTCTTGGGACTTGTACCTGTCCTTTGCCTATTTTCCTATGGGCTTACTCACACTTTTCTTAATATTTCAAGGAGTTTTTTCCATGCAAAGGAAATTAGCACTTTTGTGTCATTTTTGGTGGTTTTTTTCCTATTTGTTTTTTTGTCTTCTCCATGTTTATAGCCATTTTTCGCCCTAAACAGAAGGTTTAAATTTTTATATGGTGAAATGTACTGGTTTTTTCCTTATTGGCTTCTGAATTGTGTGTTTTTAATGAGAAAAAGCATTGGGAACTTTAAATAGATAATAGATAAGTAGATAGATAGGTAAGTATATAGATAAACTTAAGCCTAGAATGGAAAAAAAAAAATCTCAAATGTTTGTGAGAAAAGGACCCTAAGCAGGAATTCAAATTTTAGTCAAAAGTGGTATAACTAACTATAAACAAACAAAAATTTGGACATTATCTGTCAAAATTTATTTAACATTTTAAAACATCTTTTGGAAGGGTTTTCAATGATATGCTTATTTCCTTATATGTATGCTTTGTTATTTGGGGTTTTAATTTCTCAAATGATCCCTCTTTTCAGATTTCAAATTATAACCCATTTCCTGCACCATTGCTGACGTCCAGTGATCCATGTCAGAAGTACTTCCAGGTCAGATACACTTTCACATGTTTCCATGCAGAGAAGCAGTTGCATATTAAAACTAATGAATATATGTGATAGATGATTGTTTTGATGTTCAACTTATGATTTGCTAAAATAACATGTTGTTAATTTTCATTGTTCACTAATGTAATGGAAAAATTGAATCTTTAAAATAAGATAGAAGAATCAATAGGACTTAATTGTATTCACGTAATAATTGCATGACTCTACTAATACAATGTGGGAATATTTTAGTTGACTTTAATGGGAAATAAAACTGTCAAATTTTGCCATCGAGCATTGCCCATGATAGCCTGTGAACTGTTACATACAAGCAAAGGAGGTGGTGGTGTGAGTCTCTGTGAGCGGCATCCTGCCCACCATGGGGTTTGCCTAGAACAGACCCCCCAAGTCAGTATTCTCCGTGGATACAATGCCGAGTAATTCCAGGCCCTAGGAAAAATCACCTTAATTTCATTGTACATTCCTTTCTTAGTGATGTGTTGGATGCTGGTCTTTACACAGGATGGTGTGGGATTTAACTCTTAGCCTCATGGTAATATAATAAGGGGAACGTGATGGCAGTAACATCTGGAATTAAACACACGATAGGCCTGCGAGTGGCAGGCACATCTGGGCGGATTCCGTGTTTGTTAGGTCACACACCACTCAGAAAATTCTGAGTTTTGAAAGAAATGGATTTTAATCGTGGACTAGTAGATATTAATTTCCCTAAATTTTAAATTAAACTCAGTAAGTACGCCCAACCTTTTTTTTTTGCTTTACATAACACTGCATGTTTCACTTCAACAGAGAATTAAAATAAAACCATAAAATAAACACTAAGTGCAGTAGAAGTATAGGAATACATAGGAATATCCTTTTTATAAAAGTCAGCCAAAACTGGTATGACAAACCTAAATTCAAAGAGGAAAATTAGGAACTTAGGTGAGTCTTAGAGGATGTCTAATTCATGCTGGGAAAATCCGGGGCGGGGGCTTTCTTGGTAAATACATATTTGAGTAGGTATGTTAATTTTGGAAAATCAAGGCAAATATGTATGTCCTTTTAAAAATACATTTTAAGTATTGAGAATAAATCTCTTTAGGAATTCTTTAGCATTAGAAAATTTTTTTATTACATTGCAAGATAGACTCAGTATGGAAACATTCTAGGAACAAAGCTGGCAAATATATGAAATGATGTGCTTTGTTCTAAACAGAGGTGAATTAATCAAATGGCTTGTAGAAATTTCTTCTGGCCATTATATTTTGTTATGCTGATATAGTCATTCTTTCTGTTGGCACTCAAATTGCATTATTCCGTAGTAGTTATATAAAAAAATAATGCAACTGTTATCCAGCATGATTTTTTTAATAAAGAGCTACTACTATTGTGCATTGGTATAGGATGTAACACATTTTGCCAAGAAAGTGGTATTCTTATTTCAGTGGATATATTCCAGCCATTTTTATTTGAAAATAGAAATGGCAGCTAGTAAGAAGTGTCTGGACCAATACATGAGATCAGGTATGCCCAAATCCCACTTTCCAACTTTCAGGAGCTGTGACTCAGAGCGCCTTTTAAAAAACAAACATACCAGAATCAGTACCACTATCTGCCTGAAAAATTCTTGTTGAACTTGCAAGATTCAACCTAAGAGTCTCTTCTGAATAGGTCGTAGCTATGACTTAGTCAAGTGATTAGCCACTTTTAAGGCTTCTTTCATTGTTTCTTTCTTTTTTTATCTTTTGGAATTGACTCGAGGCCAGCTTATTCAAGAAAACCTGTATCATTTCATTATAGCTTACGTACCTTTTTTCACCTAAACCAGTATTCCCAGGTTTGATCATTACTAGAATCATCAGAGTTGTCCATAAAAATCCAGAGCTGTTAAAAAAATACATTCATATTCAGAAGACACTGAGGCTCTTTTAAATGATGAACGCAGCGTAGAAATGGAGCAGAGAAAATATCCTTGGGGATATGCTTATCATATCCCAAGGTGACTGACTTTTTATTTGAATACGCATATTCTGATTTGTGTTTCCAAATAATCAGCCACCACATCTACCACATTTTCTCGCACCTGGAGTGACTCTCTTCCTTGTCAACTGGTGGACTCCTACCTATCTTTCAGGACCTAGCTCAGCATTTTTTTTTTGTGGTGTTGTTTTGCTTTTTGTGGGAGAGCCTTCCCTGAACCTCTCTCCTCATCCCAAATACCTTCTTATAAGCCCCTACTTTAGCTTTTGGGGGTTTGTTTAGTAAGTTATCCTTCTCAATGCCCTGTGTGAGTTTCTTAAAAGAAAGCAATTGCTACATCTTTCCTGAAGCACCTCAGTTGCACTTGGAATGTTGAACAGAGGAAGCCCTGAGGCAATTAAGTTGACTGGAGAATAGGAAACTCTTGGGTGGTTAGAGCTAGCTCTTGAAATCCGCCCCTGTATCTAAAGAGGCTGGGGAAGTTGCTTTCCTGGTTTAGAAACTTCCAAGGTACTAAACCTGTGACCTCTCCTACCCGATGGCCCAAGCTGCTTCCTAATAACCTTTGCATCTTTTGTTCATCAAGAAGTTCTTATCATTTTTGTCACATTGAGGGTTTACTTTCATGAGTAATTTCAGGAAACCAGCTTTATTTTGCCTCTCCTCCCTAAAAGAAAAAAAAAAGTTGAGTTTATTTCATTTCCTTAATACTTTGAGGTCTAGTTCAAAAGGCAGCATTCCTCAGGGTAGACGTTTTGCTGTTAACTCCTCAGTGGAAATAAAATGGTATAGCAGAAAAATAAAAATGAAGAAAGTGTGAAGTCTCATTTAAGAGCGGGGCAAACACTGGGCTTCCCTAGGCCCATTTGTCAGTTTCCAATTTTATAAGCATGTCACAGGAGCAGAAGAAGAGCAGCAGGTTATTGAAGAGAGGAATTTCCTGTCATTACTGACAGCTTTTCCCCCCTTGACAGGGGACTAGCGGTCTCAGGAAGAGAAGGGAGCAGGTTTAACTACAGGCTCCAGCCCGGGGCTGTGTTACGATGTCATCTGAGTCACAGGCTCACAGCTCAGTGCTGGGATCTTTGTGACTCTGGGATTGAGGAAAGCTTGGTTAGCCATGAAATTAAAGTGACCCTGGCCTTCCTAATTTTGTTTAGGCTTCGTAAGATAAAACAAGAAGAAAACACAAAACTCTGTATGTTAACTAAGACTCCTTTAGTTGCTCAAAGGAGAAAAACATTTTTAAGTGGTTTAAGCCAAAAAAAAAATTATTGGTTTTCAGGGACTCCAAAAATGTCATTGCAGCTTGCTCACTTTCTCTGTCTCCTGACTGTACTTCCCCATTTGTTAGGTTCTTTCTTATGCGAGACGCAGGTTGTCTTTTTGTGGTGACTCCTTGAAGCTTCTGTCTCCTAGTTCAAGGAGAAGAGAGAGGAGAGTACTCCTCTTCTGGTCATTCTGGCAAAAGTCTTAGGAGTTCCTCTCCGTGGGTCGCATGCTTTTCCTTGGGCCACTCACCACAGTGGTGGGGATTTGCTGCTCTGATTGGCCGGGCCTGGGCCACGTGCTTCATGAAGTTAGGGGGAGAGTCATCTCTGCCCGAAACATAGGGACTGAATCCCTAATCCGTGAGAGAAGGTACTTCTGTTTTGTCAGTTTTGTTCACTGCTGTATCCTCAGCAGTGAGAACTGTATCTACTGCATGGTAGTACACACAAAAAATATCTGTTGAATGAGCACGGAGGAAGGCTGATTCCTCAAGGGAAATTTTGGGGCTTTGACCTAAAAAGGGAGAACTACATGGCAGGCTATAACAGATATTTCTTCACCGTGTAGGAGTTCTTGTCACACTCCTAACTCTAAACGTATACCCAGCTCTGGAATAGGAATCGATTCTCTTGAATTGATGATGGGTCTTCATAGGTAACACTCAAAACAGCATGATGAATAGATGTGGAGGTGAGGGCAAAACCAGGGGCCCTCTGCACCTTACAGAAGTCCAGGAGCAGAGCCACACCTCTGGGGAAGTCGGCCCGCGGGGTTACACCTAGCACCTCAATTACACCCCTCTCGGAGACGCTGTCTTTCCTTCTCCCTCCCGTTGCACAGTCCGCCTCTTCGTTTGTTGATCGTTTCCTTTGCTGAGCAAAACCTTTTTAGTTTGATTGTGTCCCACTTGTTTACTTTGTTTTTGTTGCCTTTGCTTTTGGTGTCAAATCCAAAAAAAAAATCATTGCTAGGATGTGTTAAGAACCTGACCTGCTATGTTTTCCTCAAGGAGTTTGATGGATTCAGATTTTACTTTCAAGTCTTTAATCCATTTTGAGTTAGTTTTTGTGTATAGTGTAAGAGAGAGCTCCAATTTAATTTTTTTTTTTTTGCTTGTGGCTGTCCGTTTTTCCCAACACCGTTTATTGAAGAGGCTGCCCTTTCCCCAACGTGTGTTCTTGGCTCTTCTGTGATAAATTAATTGACTGTATATGCACGGGTTTATTTCTGTGCCTGGTATTCTATTCCATTGATCTATGTGTCTATTTTTATGCCGACAAAGTTCAAAAATTTTTTTAAATGTCACTAACCCTGTGTTTTTTTCCTTGTGACTATTTCTAAACTTTGTCCATTTCCTCCGATTTCCCAAGATCGCTTACCCTCGGGGGAAGACTTTATCTTCATGAGAAAACTGTGGCTATCAGTTTTACTTTTCCTTGGTTTCGTGTCACGGTGGTGACAGACATGGCTGTGCCCATCCCTACTCCCCCACCTCTGTCTTAGAAGAAGTGCCCCTGGTCCTGGGTGGGGCCGGCAGTTCCACAGCTGCTGTGGTCCCCTCTCCTCTCGTCACCTGGACTCTTCCTTCGTGGCCAGTCCCGCTTTTGTGCTTCTGCTTTCCCCTCCAACTCGGAATCTGCACATCTGGTGTCCTTGGTCACTCAGATGGGGAGAGTCCTGGACCGAGCTTGAGCCTGTCCCTCGGACCCTGAGTCCTGTGCGCTTATGTTCAGGGCACTGCCTCTCACTTGCGGCGGCCTTTCTCCCTCGGCTGCGGTCTCTCCAGGATTTCGCCAACCTCCGTCTGCTTCATGACCCCTTTGAGCTGAAATGACTGTCTAGCTGATATATTAATTCTTGGGGGCAACTGTAACTTTGTAATTTTGCCTTGGGAGCCTTAGTTCTAGACCCGAACCTTCATTTTGCTTTCAGATCATACTGTCACTTAACATCTGAGACACACTCTAATTGCGTTCAGGCCTTGATCTATAAAAACAGCAGATACAGCGCTGTCTTGTATAGACGGTCCTGTTGGCCTAGCCTAACCATCCCCCTGTGTCTTCCTACAAGCCCAGGGGTGACAGAGGAAGGGCATAGGAAGGACAATGGGACCCAAACGGCTGATGAGAACATGGCTAAAACCTTCTATCTGTCACATCCAGGATAGGAAAGCTACTTCAATATTAAATCACCTAGAAATGTGGATGGTGTTCTTTCTGAAAATGTTTATGGTTATAAACAAAGTAAATACAAATTTCTCCCTAATAACATTGTTAGAATGTTGGACCTGCCATGATAAAGTAGCCTCATGGAGATTTTTTGCCATGCCTTTAAAAAGCCACTAGATTTCTAGCTTTTTCATAATAACGTCACTCTAACTCCCCGAGAGTCTAAGTATCGTTTTCCCTTGTGCCTGTTATGAATGTGTCCCAGGAGAACTCCATGTGGGTTCAAGGTGGGCTCTTCTCGTCACAAACACTACACTTGAGTAAGGCTGAATTGTAAATGGAAGCGTGTGTTTTCCATAAAATGGTAGGAGTAGCCAAAACACTATTAAAATTTTTAATTTCGTCTCCGAGTATTGTTTGGAAGGGAGAACTACACTAGATCCTCTGTTCCTGTAAAACGAAGCCCAAGTACTAAAGTGGGCTGCTGGGTAAGCAGGATTTTTTTTTTAAAGCTTTTATTTAATTTTGGAGAGGGGGAAGGGAGAGAGAAAGAGGGAGAGAAACATCCACTGGTTGCCTCCTGTATGCCCCCAACTGGGACCTGGCCCGCAACGCAGGCATGTGCCCTGACTGGGAATTTAACTGGTGACCCTTTGGTTTGTAGGACGATGCCTAACCCACTGAGTCACACCAGCCAGGGCAAGGGGGAATTCCTATAAATAATAATCCTGAAGTATGGGGCCCAAGCTCTAACCACTTTGGATTACAGCGCTTAACTGTCTCTGTGGGCTGCATGGCCATTCCGTTATAAAATGGACACTCCCTGGACTGTCCAGAGATGCCTAGTTTCCTAGAAGCTCACAGACTCTAGGATGAGTGGGGGATCCTTTTCTAAACTAGCCCATCCTGCGCATTTGATGATAGAAAGAGATACCTCTAAGCTCCTATGTGGAACATTCTTGCTTTCCTCCTGGGTGGAGGTCCCCGTGCTGCCTGCGGGAGGATGAGGGAGTTGTCGCAGTGCAATTTTAGGAATGTTAGGAGCTGTTCTTTGGCTCACCCGCTGCCGGTGTAGAACTCACCGAGCTCTCTGCAGAGGGCAAAGGATCAGATAAGAAAAAAGTCATTCCTCACAGGCCAAGCAGTATGAAACCTCAGGAATTCTCGTTGATGAATCTCATTCCCTTTTAGTTTGAGAAACCGTTCTTTCTTCCTAGCAAGAGACACATGGAATAAATCACGGATAGTGTGAACAATTTTTGAGATAAATGCAACTGTCAGATAGTTCCCTACGAGTTCTACAAGGGCACATGGTGACTGCAAACAGCTGAGTCTGTATTTTAATTCAGTGGAATGCATTCAGAACTCCTCTGGGGCTCTGACATGTCTCTAGTCATGGGCTCAATGCTACATTATTAGTAATAATAGTGTCTGTGTGTGCGCATGCGCGCGTGCTCTTGAGCAATTAAAGCATTTCTCCAAAATTTCTCCTTGCACAAACCCTAAGCCCAAGTCAGAAATGTTTACAAAGACATTAGCAAAACAGTCTAATGGGGGTGTGATTTTTCTAGGCATTCAGAACACAATTTCTAGACACAGTTGAGAAAAATTACCTTGGATGTATGGTGCATCATTGAACAGTGACCTTTCAAGTTAATTCAGAAAGCTGCAGCCCAGAGGGATTTTCGGGCAACTTTTTCATCAGGGAAGAGCAGAATAGAAACGTGGCAAATGTTTAGAAAGGAAATAATTTTCAAAGCTGTGGAAAATGAAGCTACCAGAAGAGAATGCATTTTTTTCAGATTCAAAAGAGAGATACTTTTTAAGTAAAAGTTGGAGCCTCAGAGGTTTTAGCTTTTCTATAAATTGGCTTTTGGATATTCACATTAAGCCTTTATTTGCTCCTATTTAATATAGAAGCAAGTGGTGGAAATTAAGAGGAAAATGGGTTCTGTATGTAACATGTGTAACAGAAGCGTTAATTCTCGCAAACGTCTGTTTAAAAATGTTTGCTCGCTCTGTGCGCCGAGTGGTTTGACCATGTCAGGCGTCTGACGGCCCGTTTCCTCTTTTGCCAGCCGACTCAGGTGCAGACACTGTGGCGGTGTTTATGGCCAGCAGCGGAACCACGGATGTCACGAATCGGAACAGCCCGGCCACCCCACCAAATACCCTCAACCTCCGTTCCTCCCACAATGAACTGCTGAACGCTGAAATCAAGCACACAGAGGCCAAGAACAGCACACCCCCCAAATGCAGGAAGAAATACGCACTAACTAACATCCAGGCAGCCATGGGCCTCTCGGACCCAGCAGCGCAGCCCCTGCTGGGGAACGGCTCCGCCAACATCAAGCTGGTGAAGAACGGGGAGAACCAGCTCCGGAAGGCTGCGGAGCAGGGCCAGCAGGACCCCAACAAAAATGTCAGTCCCCCTGCGGTCATCAACATAACTTCTGAGAAGTTAGAAGGTAAAGAGCCCCACCCACAGGATTCCTCGGGCTGTGAAATTTTACCCTGCCAGCCCCGGCGAACCAAGAGCTTCCTAAATTACTATGCAGACCTGGAAACCTCAGCCAGGGAACTAGAGCAGGACTCGAGTGGCCAGCACGGGGTTGCGGGGGAGAAGGCCCTGCCGGGCCAGGGCCAGGCCTCCACCATCATTGGGAATGGTGAGGTGCCGCTGCAGAAACCAAACCAACCCCAGTTCAGCCCCGAAGACGGCCAGGTAGCCACAGTGTCGTCCAGCCCGGAGACCAAGAAGGATCATCCTAAAACAGGGGCCAAGACGGACTGTGCACTGCACCGGATCCAGAACCTGGCGCCCAGCGACGAGGAGTCCAGCTGGACCACACTGTCCCACGACAGCGCCTCACCCAGCTCCCCGGACGAGACAGGTACCCCTGGGAAAGGTGTCATAAGGTGGCACTTTCTTTTGGTGTTTTCCATTATTGATGGAGTTAATCTCTAGACTGACCCCCCAAAAACCATTTGTAGCAGAGAAGAACATGATCTTTGGGGGTAAAATTGGGCAATTTGTGTGGAAAATATTGTTAGATCGTTTAACAGTTTCATTTTGGTTCCTACGTAAGTTGTTTTTTTTCTGGGAAGCATTTTTGTAAAAGAAATAGATTCTTGATGGTGAGTACAGTAAAACATCATCTATTTGGCAACGATATTGCCAGTATATAGGTGAACTATTTTGGTGTACTGTCAAGAAGTATTGGGTTTTGTTAAGCAAAATAATAAAAGAAATACAGTTGCTGTGGTCAGGATGTAACTGATGATGTGATTCAGAGAACCAGCTATTTTAAAGTTCTCAGCAGAACGTATGTATGATTAAGCTAATGAAAGGTTAAAGGTCTGTTTATGAAAGACATTTCCCTTTGACCTTCACTGGGGAACATTGTACTAGCTTTGTTCAAGTGATATTTGAAAATGAGAAAGTGGTGTTTCTTCTAAAATATATTCAGAAGTTTAGGATTTTCGCTAGTCTGATTGACTTCTCTCTATGTCTATAACGTCTTTGGATTTGTCAGAGGAGTCAAAATTGTGACAGGAAAGAACAGGGTCCTCATAGTTAGGTACTTTTTTACCCTGTTTCTCATAGCCCCACATTATACCAGTCATAAAGGTAAAAGACGTGGAGAGCACTGCTGTTTCTGACTTCGGAGTAAACGAGCAGTCTCAAGGGCTTATTTCTGTAACATAATCTCTCAACTGCCCTAGTGGGTCCTGGGGCTCTGTGAGTGTGATACAAATAGAACTACCAGGGAAGGAAATAACGTTTTCCCAACTTACAAAGCTGAGAAACTACAAGGACTACAGACAAGGAAAAGGGATGGGCAAAGTTAAAAAAGAAAAGAAAAGAAATGTTTTTGAAATGTCCTTTAAAATCGCAGTACTTGAAATGATGGATTTCATCAGCCCGCTGTAGCAGGGTATGGCAGTAGGGAGGTCACACTGAGTCAATTTCATCTTGTAAATGTCTAGACCTGCACATTACTGGAATCATAATTATGTTTTGTAATGTGACTGAGTTCATGGCTCTATTACTTTTTACCCATTGAAAGAATCCTTATCCTATAGCTGATGGACACCATTACCTGTTAGTGTCTGAATCTACATAAATAACTTGAGTCCCTTCCAAACGCTGCCTCCTGTTTTCACACATCCCCCGCCCACCCCATCCTGCTCTTCCAGACGGGGCGCTTTCTGTTGTAGGTAAATTTTAAATTCTACTGAAAGTTATTTAATAAACAGTAGAGTCTCCCCTGCTCCTCACTCCAGCCCCTTTTCCCAGTGATGACCACCTTTTTTCTTACTTCCTTTCAGAAACATTTTATGCATGTATCCACATTTATAATAAATTTTAAAATTTACCCAAATTTTATCATGATGATATTTTTAAAGAGTCCTTACTTTTTAAAGATATACTAATATACTACTTTATCTAATAGTATAGTATATAACATAAAATAGTATTATACATATAACATTTATAACATAATATAATATAAACTAATATAAATAATATTGAGTATGGACTTTTCTCCAAAATAATTGTGGTGGCGATTTAAAAAAGGGAACAAAATTGCCCATAAACTAATCATTGTTAAAGGTGGGTACATTAGGGTTCATTACGCTGCTCCATCAAATTTTGTGTTTAAAAATTTTCACAATAAACCATTTTCTCACTGCTAAAATTTAGATTATTTTCATCCGTAGCCCCCTCGCTTATTGCCTGCTGGGGTCCGCGAGGGCCTGTGGGGCGTCGGTATCAAAGCCGAACGCGAACGCGCAGCCCACCCCATCCCCGCAGCTGCACGGGACACCGTCCTGTCTGTCAGTCCCTCCCTCCGGGTCTCTCTGCTCACTGCTCCTTCGCTCCCAGTCCTCACGGCCCTTTCTGTCGCTTCTCCACGGAACTTGTTCCAGTGCTTGACACGTGATGTGAACGGGATTAGAATTTTCTGACATGTTGAGAGGATATGTCCATTTTCATCTCTTAGTATTGAGACCTTTGAATTTTAAAGTAGGGGTGGCAGTATGGGGAGGGCCCTTAGTGGGTGGGTAAGAACAGACATTTTGAATCAAGTAAATATGGTGGAAAGAATATATTGTTGCTGTGACTCTAAAGGAGCGAGATTGGGTTTTTAAAAAAACATACTAGAGGTCAGACGTGGGCTGTCCTTCGGAACGGCCCCTCTGGGGTCTCTGTACCCATTGCAGCATGCTGCAGTGTCTCAAAATATTGACATGAATGATATTTGGGAATTCTTTTAGAATTTCCTGAGAGCCAGTTGTGAACTCGTACCTTACGTTCACACTTCAGAGTTTCAGGTAGTGACCACTGTCTAAATTAGCAACTAAAATAAAACAAGCGACCATTCAGATTGTTATTCCTTTTAGTTTCATCTTTCCAGTGAAGCATAACATCAGTATTTACAATGATCACAATCAGTTTAAACATCATATGTTTCACTTCTAATAGCAGAATTAGTGTTTATCTTATATTTACACACACACACACACACACACAGGGTCCAGCAGAAGTAATGCCTGCTTGAGTGTGGTTGGTAGGGTAGTCACATGGGTGTAATAATTATAGTTTTAATTTGAACAGTTCACTTAAAATGCTGTATGATGTGCTTGAGTGTGGCGGTGTTATGTTACAGAATTACAAGCTTCTGATTTTGTACTAAAAGAGGGGTGTTATTCACAGTGGACCCCGTATTTTATGTACTACACCCCTGTTTTTATAGAATAAACACTAACACTAACTGTTGGAAGAAAAGGAAAAATGAAAGCAAACATTTTGTAAGATATTAGCCTGCAGCATGATCAGTTCATATTTAAAAAGTATATATATTTGCTTATTCACTGTGTTTTAAGCAAACACACATTACCATGGTGTGTGCTTCCTGACTAAACCATCATGACACAGTTATCTTTGGAGTCTAGGCTATGCTGTGGGGCTCCTGGAAGAAGAGAACAGACTCATTTCTACTTTAGGGCATCCTTCCCCAGTTAGAGTGCAGTCTCTGAAATAAACCGTGCGGACTGACTCAAAGGTTCAGCACTTTCTACTTCCCTTTCTTTCGGATTTGCCCCCTCCAGCGTCTTAGCACCTTTTTTTGCACAATCCTGCGTGCGCGGTATGTTGCTGCTCTTTCCCTCCTAAGTAGTCAGTGCTTTGAGAAAACAGAGGTGATTCTAAAAAAGGGAAGCATCTATGAAGTTACTGTGTTTCGTAGGAGTTTCCAAAAGTTCAAAAGAATGCCTTCTCTAAAGGAAAGGGTTGGTCCTTGAAAGTGAGGACTTTCAATCCGTCAGAGTCTGGCCAGAGGTCCCGGCCCCTCGGGGGCCCCAGGTAAGCACAGTGGCTCGGATAAGCACAGATCGATCAGATGGTGAGTAGTCTCTCTGAGTCTCCTGGTGTGTTACGTTTGCTTCATGAACACTTTTGAGAGACACATGTTGGTGATCTCTGGGTACAGGTTTCAGAACCTTGTTGGTTTAATTGGGGGCTTAACAAAATTGAAGATACAGAGTTTGAAACTGGGTGCATCTTGTGGAATAGCCATTTTCAAATGAGCTTCATTGCTAAGCATAATGTACAAAGGATATGTACATTATGCATATATATTACATTATACATTATAATATACATTACATTATATGTACATTATGGCAGGATATACACAGAGAAAACCAAACGTGCATGGTATGGCAGGGGGTCTGATGCTTGACTGACTTACTGTTGAGAGCATGGACTCCAGAGTCGGCTTCCTGAGTTCAAATCCCAGTTCTGTTTCATACAGACAGCTCACAGAGCTTCTCATCTGTAAAAGGGGGGTGACAGTAGGGTTTTGGCATAGACCTATTGTGAGGGTTAAGTGAGAGCATCTTCAAAGAGCTTTCAGAACAGTGCCTTGGCATATAGCAAGAGCTTGGTAAATATGAGTGCTTATTATTATTAGTGATCATCATCAGTACAAAAGTGGGATATAAAAATTTATTTCTCTCTTCGTAGTGAATCACCTATATTTTGCACACGGATGTTAGTTAGGACTTTCTGTACCCTAAAAGCCAAGATTGATTTGTTTCATCTGTTTATTGTCAGGTCCTGAAACACAGTGGGTGAACGTAGTGAATAAGTAATGATCAATTGAATAAAAATGGAGGCCATTTACATATTTCCAATGGCCCTGATGTGTCGAGTACATCATTTGATGTTTTGTCTGAATCAGTGTCTGATTTTGATATTGGGTACATATTTTGTAATGTAATTGATGACGTTTCCTTGTAATAGGTGGGACTGAACAACCAATTACTGAGGAAGGCATAATGAAATTCTGCAGGCCTACTATGTGGCAGATCTTGTTCATGGTACTTTCTCATACTCCAGTGGCCATGCTGGGACATGAACCAAGGTATACAGATCTTAGTATCTTGTCTTTTTGTACTGTACCATTGTCTTGAGATGTAGGCATGTGGTCCCCAGAGGCTGAATACATCAGGCTTTAACTACGTCAACTGGATGTGTATGGTAGTTATCTTGAGACTCTGAAAAATGGAAATTATATTTTAGAGGATCTTTCCATTCCTATAAGCACTTGAGATTTAACTCAGATTTTGTCATCTCCTCTGGGAAATCTTTCTAGACTCTGAGCTGTTGCAAGTCCTTTCTCTGTACCCCAGTGAAATGTTTCCAAGTCCCTGTTATCATACTTCTCTCAGCAGTTCTTAATGTTTCCGTGTAGACATGGAGCTCCATGAAAGCAGGAGCCAAGTCTTCACCATGTGTGGGTGTGAGCCTTTTCCTACATAGCACATAATAAGAGTCTCGTAAATGGTATTTGTTTGCCGGTTTGATGGATGGGGCCGGATGACG